GAAGAGCTCTGAACATCAAATGGATGGCCAGGAAAAGAAAGAGATGTGTCTGAGAGAGGGTGCAGCCAGAGTGGTCTTTGGAGGCAAGAATGCTGAGGCTTCCCCGCTCATACTTGGTGGATGTTGCTACGAGGTCCTAGTCCTGGGAGAAGGATAGGATGCTGGGAAGGATGGAGGGTCGGCGAAGGAAAGGAAGACCCTCAACCAGGTGGACTGCACACTGACTGCTACAACGGGCTCTTGTGTAACATAAAGTGTGAGGAGAACGCAGGATAGAACAGGGTTTGGACCTTTTGTTCATAGGTTTGTTCCGAGTTGCGCTTGACTTGACAGCACCTCACGACAGCAGCATAGAACTTAGGGAACTCGGTGGTGTCGTAAGGGAGGTACGGTGCTGACACAAAGGCAGGTGTTCTGAATCCAGCATGTGATTCACAAGAGAAAAGATGACTGATCTCCCCCCTTGTGATTTTCTGTCTCTAAAACCCAGCTGGAGGGTCCGCTATACAGCAGTTTGGAATCCACAGCTCTGACTCTGCACAAATACACAGGAACAAGCTAAGAATTCTTTGTGAATATAGTTGATCTGCATGGTCAAGGGCAGATGCTTGACAAATTCGGGGGCAGCTAAAAACGATGAACTTCTTGAGAATAACCTGGAAAAGAGCTATGCACTACACTCAGAGGCAACCCACTAAGTTCCTTTCAAAACTGACAAAAGTAAACAGGAGTCTTATTTTCATTTTGGGCAACTCATATTCCACTTCTGTGAATATTACTCTCCCAGACAACGACACTACTGAAATGAAAACAGAACGTGGCCCTGAGCAACAGCAGGTTCTATAATGATTAGAGATAGAGGTCTCTCCCTCCTTCCCATCAGCCCCTTAAGATTCCTTCTCAATCTGGATTTTCCTGACGCTGATGGAAGTGAACGAGTGCTCAGCGAGTTCAGCCCTTTTGATTTTCTGATTCTGACTCCTTACACATTACACTGTAATACATCCCGTGCCACCTTTTTAAAACTTCTATTCAACTCTTTAGTACTTTGAATTCTTCCTTCTGCTTTGGCCTCTCTGCGCTCCAGCGCAATTTTCGAAGTCGCTTCTGACATCCATTTTGGTCTTCTCTTCCTCTCCTGTCTTTGCAATGACCGTCTGCACTCTTCCTGGATGGTAACCTTGATATCCTCCCACAACTCATCTGGTCTTCACTCATCAGTGTTCAAGGCCTCAAACCTGTTCCTGAGGTGGTTCTGAAATTCCAATGAATAGACTCAAAGGCATAATTTGGTTGCCATGGATTTGGTTTAATTTTCCTCAGCTTCAGCTTGAACTTGCATATGAGTAATTGGTGGTCTGTTCCACAATCAGTCCCGGCCTAGTTTTCACAGCTGATAAAGACCGTCTCCAGCGGTTCTTTCCGCAGAAGTAATCGATCTGATTCCTATGCATACCATCAGGTGAAAAGGGCCAAACTCCCTCAGCACTTCTTAAGCTCAAGGAACTGAAGAACAAATTCAAACCTCAAGTTGCTACAATCAAGGATGCTTTAGGCAGAATATGAAATGATCCAGGAAGTATTAAAAGAAGATGGAAGGAGTATACTGAGTCACTGTATCGAAAGGAATTGGCAGTCACAGAAGAATTTCATGAAACAACATATGAGCAAGAGCCTATGGTGATGAAAGAAGTAGTTCAGGAAATGGCAAGAAATATGGCTCCAGGAATAGATGG